AAAGGTCAACAAGCACCCGGACCCCACCACGCCTGCTGCTCATCGCGGCGAGGCCCGGCCTTTCCGAGGAAGAGACGCAGGTGAGGCCCCCGCGCCCCGCGCTCCCGGACCCCCGCCCGGGAGGGACCCCGTCCCCAGACTGCGCGCCACCCACGCGAATATAACGGTGCCCCTCGCCCTCGCCTCGCCGCCCTCCCCGATCCCTCATCGCTCTTGCATGCGCTCCGGGGCCGGTTCCGGGAGCCCCGATTCTGCATCGCTCCTACCGCCGCACCCCACCTTCCCGGCTCCCTGGCGCCCCCCCCTCCCCCGACCCGTCTACCCCTCTATCCCTAGCCCGCGGGGGCTCCCCAGGAGCTGCTTGGAAATCTCACGTTCGTCCTTCCTTCCCTCTCCTCTCCGCCCGGGACGAGCGCTCTCCTTTCTCCGGGTTGGAGGAGCCCCGTCCCCTCCGGCCTCGCTGGCCCGGGCTCAGTTTCTCCCCTGGGCGCCCTTCCTGAGGTGCCGCCTGCGCTCTGAGCCCGGCGCCCCCAAATCTCTCCGCGGCCGTGTCAGAGCTGGAGGGGACCTTGGAGACCAGCAATAAACTCAGTCCAGAGCTGGAGGGGACCTTGGAGACCAGCAATAAACTCAGTCCTCAGGGTTGACAAACGAGGAAACTGAGGCCCAGAGAGAGGGGCTTGCCAGGACGGCAGGGGTCCTAAGGTTGCATACAGCCGGGGAGCTTTGGTTCGCATATCTGAAAACTCCCGGGCTCTCAGGTTTAATCTTTTAGGGGGTGGGAGCAGATGTCCCCTTCAATGCGTGGATTTTTAAATCTATTTTTAAAGCCTCCTACATTGTCCTGAAAATTGTTTAGGGTAGAGAATGAAACACTATCCGTGATTGTTAACCTCCAGGTGCAGTGTTATTTGGTAACTGACTTTATTTTCCCTTTGGTCATGGAAAGACGATGGGTTATGTATGATGCGTACTACTTGGAGCTGCTCTAGCACCTCTCCCACGGAAGCCCAAAGCACTTCACACCTCTAGTCTCAGCTCTAAAGCAGAGATGTTCTTGTTCTTCCCATTGCACACACCAGAGCATCAGACGGCTTGTCCTCTCCTCTCCACGAACCATACTCACATGAGGCTTCAAAGCTTGTAATGGACTAAGGCCCTCCACCCCAACTCCAAAATGATTTTTATGAATTGAGCCAGGCACACTTTGGACAACTTGCTTCTAGAAAATCGTTTCACTCCTAAGTCAAATAGAAAGCCAAGCATACCTGTTTTAGCAAAGAGAACAGCAGGACTTAGGAGAAGGTGATTTGCTGTAACCCAAGTCTTACAGCTCATGTTTCTTGGAACCCGTGAGGAGGTGGCCTGCTGAAGTTTTATTATTTAAAATCCCATGCTATATTTAGAAAAGAAGAGTGATCACAGAGACAGTGATTAGTCATCGTTTAAAGAGAATGTTGTGGATTTATTGTGGACACCGTACCAACTGGGGGTCTAAGCTCTTCTCAGCCTCTGATACTCCCGTGGTGAATTACCATCTTCCCCTTACCTTAAGGCAGAATAATTATGTTGACCTTTGTAATGGCTGAAACTTGCCAGGTATTGTTCCATGCACCCCTCCAAGTATTAAATTGCTTATTTGTCACAACTATTAGCCCTGTTGTTCAGGGA